GACAAAGACTATGTCATTCTTTTTTACTATTGTATCTCCAAAACTGTAGCACATTTCTAGGCACATGTCAGTTGTTAAAAAAAAAAAAGGAAGGGGGAAGGGAGATAAGGAGAGAAAAAGGAAGTCAAATAGGAGATATTCAGAGAACTAAGTAGTAGGGAAGCCAACCCATAGTGAGTGTATGGGAGAGGCTTAAAGATAATGCCTAAAGATACATATTTCTAAAAAAAGTATATTTATTTCCTGACCCTTAGGTTTTGATGTAATCTACATATTTGCCAAGTAAAGACTGAATATATTGTCTTCTCCTCAACTTCACAAATGTGATGTACTTTCTTTAAAATGGAGGAACACTGAACTCTGATCTACTAAGACCACTGTGATTGTGACGTGGTCATGATTAGTTTGAGGAAAAATAGCTTGCAAAGGATAAGGAAGAGCTCATCCTCTGATGAACGCTTGAAATTTTGAGTGGTGTATCTTTTTTTTTTTTATTTTTTTTAACGTTTTATTTATTTTTGAGACAGAGAGAGTCAGAGCATGAACGGGGGAGGGGCAGAGAGAGAGGGAGACACAGAATCGGAAGCAGGCTCCAGGCTCTGAGCCATCAGCCCAGAGCCCGACGCGGGGCTCGAACTCACGGACCGCGAGATCATGACCTGAGCTGAAGTCGGACGCTCAGCCGACTGAGTCACCCAGGCGCCCCGAGTGGTGTATCTTTCCATGAGTTTACAGTTGCTGTTTTTCCCTGTTTCCACCAAGGAGAATAAAGAAAAAGATACAGAATTGGAAGATTCTACTTCATTGTGCTCTTATGCCCTCATGCCCATAGACTCATTACCATGATCTGACTTGAGACCATCAAAATTATGGATATGTTATATCTCTTTTATGAGAGTCAATATAATAATCTTTGATTTCCAAGTCATGATATATTCCTGGAAAACCAATATTCATACAGGGATATATATATATATTCATATATATATTTATTGCAGGGAGACAATCCTCTACACCTACCTCTGGCATTTTCCTTTTTTTTAATTCCAGTTTTATTTATCTTTAAATAAATTGTTATCTGACATACTATATATTTTACTTATATATTTATTTGTTCCCTTCTACTAGCATATAAATTTCACAAAAGAGGATTTCTTATCTTGTTGGCTATTATCAGAGTCTAGGAAAGTGTCTGCAAATAGTAGATTTTCAAAAATGATTTGTTGAATGGATACCTGAATAAACAAATGAAGCAGAATAGTTTATGAAGGAGAATAGTTTAGTTTGGGGAGAGACAGTTTTTTTGTTTTGTTTTGTTTTGTTTTCCTGTTTGGGGACAAAAAAGAATACAGTATCAAAACATTGAATCATTCCTGAGTTATAATTCCTCATGAAACTTTGACAGTTCTATTACTTTGAAATTAAATATGTATCCCTCTGGAATACTGTGTATCTGAGCTCCCTGGATGACATACATTCTTCTAATACTTCTATTTTGTCACACTGACTCTAATCTCTGTGGAGCATTCATGTAACTTGATTTTTGATCATTAAAGAAAGTGAGAATCTTTAACTTAATAATTATTATCATTATTTTAGCCTTAGAGAGTTCACCAAAGCATTGGTAAATTTGGAAAACATACTCAATATTTTACAATAGATAACAAATAAAATTATGAGTCACCTCCTTGACTAAAGCTTTATTGTAGGATACTTAGATAACATTTGTGCGTCTGGCTCTGTCATGATCTCTAGTTCAGAAATAACATGAGTGTTTTGAGGAAACTAGACTGGGAAGTTTTGAAACCCAATGCCAGAAATAAACAAAAGAAATGCAGGCAACTATGAAAGCCCTACAAGTTTGGATCCTCTGTTCCAAAGAGTGCTTAATGTATTACTGTGCACTTGGGAAGGAAATCTGCTTATTTTCTATCATATTTTCTTTTTTTTTTAAGTTATTTATTTATTTATTTATTTATTTACGGGTAGAGGAGAGGGAGAGAGAGAATCCCAAGCAGGCTCTGCACTGTCAGCCCAGAGTACCTCAGGGCTTGATCTCATGAATCATGAGATCATGACCTGAGCCGAAATCAAGTGTCAGATGCTTAGCTGACTGAACCACCCAGGCACCCCTCTATCATACTTTCTTGCAGACAGTCAAACATGATCAAAGCTCTAGTTATTTAAACCCATTTCTCCATGCTGGTTAAGAAGTCTTAGGAAAGTACCCTCCTCATTTGGAATACACCAGACTACTCAGCTCCCATCAGGAATTCTAAAGGGGAGAAGAAGTAACTAGGAAGTATGTTTTTAAGTAGGCTGTTTTACTGGCCAAAAAATGGAATAAATGAAGAAAATATATACTTGAACTATTGATGATGAGAGACAAATCTCCTGTCTCCTATATATGGGCATGGTCCAGTACAGGTGAAGAGGGTTTTTTGTTTGTTTGTTTGCTTGTTTGTTTAGAAAATTTCCTAGCCAGAACCATTTGCTTTTCTAGGACACACTAGTTGAAACAGCAGGTCCAGCTTAAGTTGTATAATCATGATCAAATCAAGATCAAGATCAAATCAAGATCAAGGTAGTCTAGTCTTAAGCCAGCATTCAGAAAAAAAGGTAGAAGTTCATTCTCTTTGTCTAATTAGACATGATTTAATCTGAGTGAACTATTAAAATAGAAAATATGAGACAAAAATGATGAATATTTTCTCCAGGTTTTTCCATCTCCTTCTCTTTATGAACATGTATGAGAATAAAAATTACTGAAAAATATTATTAAAATACCTGAATACACCAAGCCTGAGTGTCACTGCATCCTTAAAATTACCATTATGCTAGCATTGCAGAACTTTAGGAAGAGCATAGTGAGGTAAAATGAAATATGCCACACACCCCCACTACCACCCAGGGAAAGTCATTTTCCATGATCTAACAAATAACAGATGGAGAATGACTGAGAGCTCTGTTGCCTTCTAAATAGAAAAGCAGTATTAGTTTTCTCATTAGGCTTATAGGAGAAATGGCTTCAACCGTTAGGTAGTTTTGTTAATCCCTACAGCTGGACTATGCAAAAGTGTAGGGCTTAATACTCACTCTCAACAATATCTATTTATGTGGATCAATTAAAGCAGATAAATGTTTTGCCTATTTTCCCCCTCCAAGGCAGCAAACACCGGCTTAACCAATGAAATGTGAATATATAACACAAGAATAGAGAGCCCAGTATATTGTAGAAGTTATATTTAGCAACGTCTATGTGTCATCATTGCTAAACCACTCAGGTGGCTACAGAAGAGGGCCGGAGGCTCTAGTGATCCATATGCTAAGCTCCATCCTCAGAGATACCTCTATAGCTCATCCGCACTCAGGCAGAACTGAACTTTTAACATAGAAGTGTTCCCCAAAGGGTTATTAAAAAAATAGTCAATAGCATCTGAGAATCTTTTGAAACTAGTATCACTGATGTGCTATTGATATAACAAAGAAAGTCTGGATTCACACTGTGAACACACAACAGAGCTTGTGCAAGTTGGCGTGGAAATCTGCAGTGAATTATTTGAATAAAAAGCACATTATATTTAAAAAAATCATTATTTTTAACTTAAAATGATTACCTTTAACTATGTGTCATATGTTGTCTTACATCTAACTATGTGTGTATGTGTGCATGTATATGTGTGTGTATGTGTGTGTGTATACATGTCAATAAATATGATCTTCACAATAGCCATAAGAGATAAATGTTACTACCTTTTCTTCCTAACTGAGGAAAGGTTAAATAATTTGCCAGAAATTATTGAGCTATATTAAGTGCCATTGGCAGGTGCAGAAGCCAGAGCTGGCTGACTTCAGAGCTTGCATTTTCTAATAAATGGCACCACCTTTAAAAAAAAAAAAAAAAGCACACACTACAGGCACCGGGGTGGCTCAGTTGGTTAAGCGACTGACTTTGGCTCAGGTCATGATCTTAGAGTTCATGAGTTCGAGCCCCACTTTGGGCTCTGTGCTGACAGTGAGGAGTCTGCTTGGGATTCTCCCTCTCTCCCTCTCTGCCCCTCCTCCACTTGAGTTCTCTGTCTCTCAAAATAAATAAAACTTAAAAGAAGATGAAAAAACACAACTATAATGCACAGCTCCAACAATGTGAAATACTGTTTCTGTATGTGAGAGAATGTGAAAAGCTATGGACACAGCTATGCAGCCACCCAGATGGATAGGAATGTTTGAAAAATCTTGGGGAGCTCTTTTATGTGAGACACAATAGTCAAATCAGTAGAGTATAAAAAAGCTACTGCCTCAGTCCATAGGACAGAGCACAGAGAAGAAAAGTAGTTTGATGATTTTTCTCACCCACACTTGGATGGATTTTCATCATCAATTGGTGCATTAATTCTCTCTGGCTCCTGGAAACAGTCATTTGCTTAATAGCTCTTTTGTGACCGAGGGAGTTAATGCACAGTCCCAAATGGCTTAACTTCCAGCTGAGGAGGAGTTTGGGCAGAGAAAAAAAAAACAAAACATCTAACTTCATTTTTCACAAATAATTTGAAGATGAAAGTTGGAACAAACGATCTCACTATTTTTGTTGAGAAAGAGCCCTGTTTTCTTTTGACAGAGGTCACTGAGACGTAGGAGGCAATTTTCATGTGGAGATATTTCCTTGAGTCAGTATAAATGGAGCAAAGAAAATGAGTGAAATACAAAATGTCCTTGTAAAGCTCAGATTTTCTGGGACCTACTATGAGATTTTTGTATTAGAAAGTTTGGACAATTCTAAGTACCTATCTTAACTTTTTAACTTTATATCTTTGGAATGGTTCAAAATAATTGTCCAGTAACTGAAAATCAGGATTTTTCATAGGTTCAGTTCTTTGCCCTACTGCAGACTTAAAATGACTGCAGACTTAATAATCACTAAGTGATTATTATGTATGATTAATTATGCTATAGAAATGTTAAGACGGTTATAATTGTATGGTTATAATTTCCTTGTTCAGGTGATAAAACAGGAAGAACTTGGCAAGGATCTTTCTGATTGTACTTTGTATGATCTACTGAAATACGATGATTTTAACTCTGACAAGCACCTGGCTCTTGAAGAATTTTATAGAACATTCCGTGAGTATAATATTCATTCTCTAATTCCTCTTCGTTCATTTTCCTGTTTCTTTACACAATCCAGAATGTTGCTTGATCTGAGAGTACAGGCTGTTTTTAAATTAAGAGAAGTGGTGTAAGTAAGATAAAGTGCTGAAGTGTACTGAAACATATGTAAAAGTTAAGGGATGCAGTAATCCTAAAATGAAAAGCTGGAAATATTTGATAACCCTGGATATCAGTTCTTACTGATTCTCATTGAAAATGTGAATTCCACAATGCTGTTTTTAAAGTTTGGGGGGAGTAGTAGCACTTGACTAGTCTTCACTGTATATCAAGAACAATTTAATTATTTACACAGTGACTTTTTGTTTTTTGTTTTTTGTTTTTACACTATAGGGAAACCAAGATAGATTAATAGATAGAGTTTGCATATATGTTAACAATAATTAGCATAACAATGGAAAATTGTATTTATATTAAGGTACTTTGGAATAATTTATGTATGTTTAAATTGCTTAAATACTTCTTAAAATCGACTATTTATGCTTTATAAAGCATAAATATACTTTATATGCTTTATATGATTTATGATTTGTATATGCTTTATAAATCATATATGAAATATGATTTATATATGCTTTATAAGTCACCAAAGAATCAAAGCTCAACAGGATTTAAGTCAGCACTGAAACCAGTATTTTTTTCTATCTTCTATCTTCAATGTTATATATATGCACATTTATATATTGCTTTCAAAAAAGACAGGAAATAGGATATGTACTTGATGTAAAAAGATCTCTTTTGAATTATGCCTCTTCCACATATCAGTGGTCTGATATTACGGAAATTACTTAAATTCCTGAAAATCCATATAAATATGAATAGTAATGTTCTTGTCATATGATAATTTTATATTAAAACATTAAATTAGATTTTATGTAAGTTTTGATAAAGCAAAATAATATATGTGAAATAGTTGCAGGTGATGAAGCTTTAAGCCAAGATATCAGTATGCTCTTCAGATGTAATTAAATTGCATTTCCATTTTCAATTAAAAGGCAGGATAGCAAGATGCAGAGTGACTCTATAAACAGTTAACCCCTTAAAAAATGTCACAATCAAGGATAGACACCTTTCAAAGACAAAACAGGAAAGCAGCATTATTATTCTACGTTTGTAGGAAGAAATTGAAACACAAAGAACTTAAGAACTAAGTGGCTGAGTTTATAATCAAAGCTATGTCAGACTGTGAAGGCTTTGTGTTTTCCACTAAACCACTCTGTAATAGGAATTATTTTGTGTACTTATGGTGGCAACGAGAAGATATTATGGTTTATCAGAAAAGAAATTATATTTATATTCTTCTATATCTATATTACATTAATATTGTCATATATTAATTTACAAATACCATATATAAGCTAGAAAGAGATACACATCACAGAAGGGACTACATCAAATATTAAGTAAGTTAGAATATAATCTCATTTGGGAAATCATGAAGACTTTTTGAAGGTGGTAGCAACTGAATTAGTTTCCAGGATGAGTGGATATGGACTTCGGACAATAAAAGATAGGAAACTGGACAAAAAAGTATAGCATAAATAAAAACTCAAGTGTATCACATACCAGGGTATTTACGGAAATTAATTCAACTGTAAGGTCTGTTCCAGTATTGAAATTCTATGAAAATATATACATTATTATTATTATTTTACTAACTTGTTTTTTTAAACAATCAGTCTAATCTACCAGCTCCAATCTCTCACCCTTCTACTAGGCGGATACTTGGATTTGACTAAATAAAAGTAATTGAAACTTGTAGCAAGAGCAGAACATATTTTTAATGGCATGCAATTTATCAAGCATCAGTAAGATAATTAAATAGATGTTTGTGAGAATTTTTATTAAAAATATTGTTGATGATGAAATGGTGGAGCTAGAAACTAAAACAATAAAAATAAAGTAGGAATATATGTTATTTTTATGACAGTACAGCAAAGACTGAATAATGATCCCTGGCAATATCAGTAAATAAGAATCTTGTCTAGAATGCTGCTGCTTACCCTATCACAGGGAAAAAATGATACCATGTTTTGAGATATGATTTGATGTTGCTAAGGAAGGCAAGGTAGATCAGTATATTGTTCTGATAAAGAAAATTTTGCAATTCAGAAATTTGTATCATCAGTAAAAGCATTCAATAGAGAAATAATGAAATGTTGTCTGTGAAGGAGCTAAAGTATACTAGAAACTGTTGAAGTTGGATGGAAAAAAATCTATATGATTTGGGTTAACCCTTAGAAGTGACAATTTTATGGAAATTATATATAGTAAAGGCAATGAATTTAATGAATGTTATAATGTTTCTGCCATGAGGTCAAAATTATGCATCACACCCAAGGTCTACATTTTTAATATTCTGAGTCATAAAGAGATATTAAGTTATGAAAGCACTTGGCAATCAGCAATCATATTATGAGCTTTTTTTCCTTTTTGTGTAATTGCAAAACTATCCCTTAATAATGATAAAATAATGTTCATGTAGTCATTTAGAGAAGATAATGTTTTTCTAAGTAATGCTGGAATTATATGGAATATTTTAATATTCTTTGTGGTCTTACCAAGCAATTTTCTGGAAAGTATCACATTTTCAGTGTTGCACCTTGCTTAAATAGGTCATCAGACTATATAATGATCCCTTAGAGGTAGAAGAACTAATTTGTGTGGATAGTGTCTAGATTAGCAAAAAGTATTTATACTTCTTGAATAGAAAACATGCATCTATTTCTTTCTTTCCATCTATTATAATACTTTACAACTAAACCCAATTTGGTTTTGTGAAGTTTTGTGGCAGGCTTTTAATAATGGCATAATTTCAAAAAGTCTCTGCATTATAAAATACTAAGGTAGTGTCATGAATAAAAATGTGTAACAATAGTGAGAAAAGCAATCTATTCGAAAATCATGTATTAAGTACTTATGTGTATAGAATGCTGTGATAGTTAAACCAACTTAGAAAGATTGTTTTCTTTCCCTTAGGAATATATAATCTCAGACAGACAATGATAAAAATGACAGATCTAGTAAGGGTAAAATAATCTTTTTTTTTTTTTTTATATCCAGAATGATTCCTCCAGATAACTCTTAAAATGAAAACCTAGAAAACTAAACAGTCCCTAAATGAATGTTCAAAAGAATAAACGAAGTCGAGAGAAGTTAAAAAACAAAAACAAACAAAAAAAAACTTCTCTTAATCCATTAATTATTTACTGGTAGATACAAGAATAGACAGAGTTGCATTTTATTATTCTTTCTGCCATAGTATAAAATGGAAGAAAGTAGAGCAAAATGTAATGTGCAAACAAGAAAAGGTTAATGATAAAAATAGTACATTATCAACCATTATAACACTAGTAAATTGTTATTACAGTTGGTAATAAGGTTTTCTGTAAAATAGCCTTTTTCCCCCTTTTTGGATAAGAAGAGGGATTATTTTAATATTTGACAATAGGCATTGGATGCTATCCTTAATTTTTCTCCAGAAATTTGGGTATTATTAAAAAGATATTTAAAATAAATCCTCAGTGTGAGCATCAAGCATTCTGAACCATGCATTGTTTTACTAATAAATTTGGAAATCTATTTTATGGGGTCAAATAAATTTTAAATGAGGTCAGTGACACAGTTTTGAATACTTAGAGGAAATACTAAATCCTCTGGTCAGATGGCAAATTCTTTCACCCGGGCATTTTGTTGTCTTGAATAATTTCAGTTAAATGTATAGATTTTTCAGTGCAAAGGTTTCTTATAGAATTAAAAATGAGTAAACAGTGCCATTATTGACCATAAAGACTTGAATTAACATATGAGAAAACAGCACTTTATTTTCTTCGCACTCAAAATTAAATTAAAATCTTTGTTTGATTTGCATGGAGCACTATATTTTTGCCTTAAGTCTATATAGGTAAATGCAATTTATTTGTTATCAAACATGACCATACACTGAATTGAGGCATTTAATTTTCATAAATGATACTCAGATAAATATATGTTTACCTATTTTTGCAGTCAAACTCAGTTAAGATAATAAATTTTTATTAAATGATTATTGGTTTTAGGAATTAGTTGTTTTTATTTCTAGCTAACAAAAAGTGGTGCAATTGGCTATCCAGAGAAAGAATATTTGTTTAGAATGCTTTCTATGTACTTTATTTTCTGAGTTAAATTATAAATTGCTCTGACTATAGTGCTAAGTCTTAAAATTATATGAAATGAAGAGTTTGCAATTCTGATAGATTCTTAAAATTCTATTAAATGGTTACGTGTTGCAGTTCCTAAAGCCATGTATAAGTCCTTCAAGATATGTATGTATTCTAATAGTTCAAGTTCTAATGTTACACTTAAATAAATCTCTATCAATTCTAAATGATCTTTATGTGTGGAAAGTTCCCTAAAGAAATGTGCTTCTACTAGGCATGAAAAAATTAGTTTTTTGCAAGCATAATGCATCAACTGTGAGCATTTATATTGAAACTAATTGTATAATAGCTCTCTCTCCATTCTTAAAAAGAATAGATAATTAGGATTCTAAAATTTTAAAATACTAAAAAAATACATGGCACAGTTATTTTAAATTACCTAAGTATTCATGATTATATTTAAAATGTCATATTTCTTTATATGAAACACTTCTTAATGGAATATAGATTTGATAATGACATTATGAGGAAAAAATCATTTTCTAGGAAGTCACAATTTCTATAATAAAAATATTACTTATTGGAACCATCTAATAATCACAGCAATGAAATATGAATATTATATTAATATTTATAGATTTTAGGTCATTAGTATATAAAAGACATTTATTTGAGAAAAATAACAGAGTTTAGTGAGAAGAATTAAAACTATTACAGTAATATGGGTTAAAGGTGAAAGGGTCAGGATTAAAAGAGAACAGTAATAATACAGAGAGGTGGTCATATTTGGGCAGTAACTTACAAGCAGAATCATTT